TCCACCAAGCAAGCCTAAAGTGACAGCACAGCCGAGCGGTGTGTGTTTCAGCGCACAAAGGTCGGCTATGTCATACTGAGCCATGCCATTTATACCGTGCTGTTGTTGTTTTTTTTTAAGAATATTTGGCTTTGAATAATATTTGTGGATACAGTTTGTTCCCGGGATCTTCTTTCAGTACAGCCCGTCCACTCCTTTCTCCACTCCTAATGAAGAAAATATCACCTTTCCTTTTGTCACGCACACTCCAACGTCAACCACCAAAAAGAAGACGCATGAGGTCACCGTCCTTTCACGTTTCTGCTTAACCAGGCTTCGAGTGAGACATGCGAGAAGCGAAGAAGAGTGCAGAAATAAAAAAAACCAAAAAAACAAAGACTTCCCTGCTTCTGCCGCCGCTTCGCAACCACCACACGTTCAGTTTTTCACTCTTTTTTTGTTCTTTCAGCGGCAGCGTGCCTCTCATTTCCCATCAGTCACGATCACCTCCTCGCTCTGGCTCTGCAATTCTCAAAAATCACCCTGTTTCGCAGCACGGGTGCAAAATATTACTTGAATGCGGCTATGCAAAGATGATCAGGGGCCATTTACCAACCACTTTGATTATACACTAATGCACTTAATAACAGAATGCATTGGTGCAACGCAGGAATTCAGGGCTACAAATCTCTTGCTGTCATTTTTGTGTGTTTTTTTTGTCTTCAGCGCACATCTGGAAGAAATTGTTGCATAATTTGTACCCGTGTTTTCACAAAACACTGCAGGCAATGGCCCAGAGGAAAATATCAAACAAATAAGCACAGTTTTATTTAGCCTTGATTTTAGATATCGCTTGTTTGAAAGGAAAAAAAAGCAACAAGGTTTTAATCTTCCACAGATCACAGAACTTCTGTTTTTTGTGTTTTCAGTTCAGATAAACACGTTTCAACTTTAATTAAAGTAGATAGTCGAAATGTTTTAAAGCCCGAGAAGAAACAATTTAGATGTAACTTTATCAATCCGTGTACTCAGAAACAGCTCGTATGCGTGAGGACAATTTAGCATTTCCTGCAAATATTTAGATGGGATTGATTTGTTTAACTTGTGTTTTTGCAGCTGAAATGTTTACCCAAACTACTTTGAAGGGTCTTGTGTGAAATTACACATGGACTGCTGAACATGATGGAAAGAATAGGGAAGAAATATGCAGACCATTCATCAAAGATGGTGTTTTTCCCCCCCACAGAAGCAACAGGATTGTGACTTTTTGCTTCCTATCATTTACTGCTTTACAAAGTCATTAATAATAAGAAACAATCACTTTTCAGCCAGTTCTTTCCCATGACACTATGACACACGGCATCGAAATAAAACACAAATCCAGCTGCATCTTAGCCTTTGTGACCCCAGATGTTCTCCCTTTGCACTGTATCCCAACAGTTACATCCTGCTGGTTCCTGCATGCCTGCTCCATTGAGAAAGTCATTTCTATTGATTTGCCTTTCCAGGCATCATTTAATATGATACATATTCACTTGTGAATATCGACCTTTCCCTGCTGTCCTGACATTTCTGCCATAAATACTTTGAAATCAAGCCCGTGAAAAGATATGAAATGTTATAAGGGTAAATAAGGCCTGGTTTTAAACAGTAACAGAAGGGGAGGGTGGATTTTATAAGGGCAAATGTTCTTTGAGACTTGTGTGTTCAGGACAGAGAGGGCATGATTCAAATTCAAGGCTGCCCTCAAGTGGAAGTTATAGTCACAGCCATATATGTGGCTGACTGGCAACATTTAAACCATAATTTAATTTAGGCATCGATTTGGGAAAAGTGCATTAATTAGCAGCATAAAAGTGCACAATAAACCATTTGCAACGGAAAAATAGCACGGCCCGTCTTTGCAGCACAATGGCCAGTGATTCTTATCACATACTGCCACCTGGTGGTGTCATGTTAAAACTATGATATGCTTCAGTGCTCTATTTAAACGAAACAGAACACAACAGTCAGCATTGTGACAATTCTGTCTTTATTACAGCTCGGTTAAATGGCATTGATAGAAACCTTAACTCAGTCATTCTAACAGAGTGCCAAAGGAAAATGGCAAAAGAAATAAACAAAATTAGAAACACAATACCCACTATACATTTAAATATGTACAACTTTGATAAATAAACCAATACTGTCTAGAATTATGATTGTTTTGCATTTTTGCTTAATCCTCTAGGAGTAGTGCGCCGGGAAGAGCAGAGAGGAGAGGAGGAGACCAGGAAACAGGACGGCTGGGGGTGGGATTAGGGACAGCAGGCACAGATGAGATAAGAGACAACCGTGGAGCAGTCGAGACGATGGCTTGGTGTACAAATCAGACCCTATTTGTTTAACTGTACCCTCAAAACTATTTTTTGCTTTTTTGGTGCATCGCTAATCAGCCATTCTGCCCTTTCTCTCTACATATATATATCTATAAATATATATATTTTGGTTCACCACAGTACATTCTTCAGTATTGTTTCACCTGGAACACTGGATCCTGAGACAGGGACTAAGACAGGGATCGGACGGTTTCTATAATACAAACTTTTATTTCTGCTCCTTTAAAGCAATATTCATAAACTACAGTGTGTCTTAAACATAACGATGAATGAGGCTGTGCTGAAAAAGTTGTTTAATTATAACAGTAAAAGCAAACCTCTAAAGAAGCGTGACAGGTGGGATGAGTGGAACAAAGGAAGAAAAATATATATCTAAATTACTTTTGCTAACCAGCAGCATTTCTCATCACATTTCATCTAGAGCACCAGGCACTGTGCAGCAGTAAAGTAAGTTTTCTGACATTTCAATGACTTTTGCATGATACGGGAATATAATAATTTGGTTTTAGAGTCGAAATGAGACAAAGGGGGGGGG